TCAAGTGGAAAAGCTACTTTTTGTGACATCCTTCCATCCTTTGCATCCTTCCAGCAGTATTTGGTATCTGTAGGACAGAGAGAGTAAAAAATCAAATGAGCATTTTTGTCACGTCCTCCTGATGACTGAGTCTGGGGAGATTGCTAAGTAGAGATATATCAGGGGCAAACTGATCTCTTGCTGGCAGGGTGAACTGAAGGGTGAGCCGCAGGATGACGGAAGGAGGAAGTGCCATCCACAAATGAGAAGAAAACACTCCTGAACTTCCCTGAACTTCCAGTCAGCCTGGGGTGCAGGATATAAGGACCCCACCTATGCCCAACCAGCAGCAGGGGACATCAGCCCCTTTCCTTCTGGTACCCTCTGTCTGGAGCAGAGTGATGGCTTTTCCTCCCCGTGAGGATGTGCTCAGCATCCATGATGCTGGCCAAGAAACAGAGGGGAGCAGAAGAAGAGGACCCTTTGCAGAGAAATGCACCCCCTTACAACTCCATGTCCTAGTTTTCTAGGGAGGAACGGGAGGGCCATGGGAAGAACCTTGGATGTGAGAAGCAGCAGGGACCTCAGACAACATCCACGTCCAGTTCCATCTTTTACAACAGAGGAGTAGTGATGCCACAGGGGTAAGACTGAACTAAGGGCACACAACTTGCTATTGATGACCCCGGAATTAGAATCCACCCACTAACACCGTTTCAATAAAGATTAGAGAAAGCAAGAGGAAAGGCTGCAATCTGGAGGTATCAAGTCACGAGAAGCGGTTGGGTCACCTTGGCTAGGACAGGAATATGGTTTTACAAATAAATATGAAGTTGCTTCTGCTTCTTTGGTTGGTTAAAAAAATTAAATGAAACAAATATAATTATAAGTATTTGTCCAAGGGGAATGAGGAAAGAAACGGAATTTAAAAAAGAGCGACTCGAAATGGAGTTAGTAAAGAGAGAGCTGGGACTGTAACCACGGCCCAACTTATTTTCCCTAATGCCCTGAAGTTGTTCCGCATCTGGTTCCACTTTAAGGCATTTCTAGAAACATTCTCAATATCTAGAGCAAGAAAACTCTGAAGTACAAAGTGAAAGGCATTAGTTTCTCCCCTCCCACTTACTATTTTCCCAAAGTACATTTTGGGAAAGGTTTGTTTTTAATATTTTATGCCAGTGTGAAGAGAGGCATGAAAAAGTACGAAAAAGTATTCATACACAATCTCCTGCAGAATTTCAGTCTTACTTTGTTATTGTATTCTCTTCAGGAAAGTGAGACCAATGAGTTCTCCTTGGGGATTTTGCAGAAGGACAATAATTGACCAAAAGTGAAATTTTCACATTGCAGTGGTGAGCCCATGAGTGGGCTATAAAATGGGTGTGGGAAAATGTAAAGTGGAAGTTTTCTTTTAAAATGCAAAAGAAAATACTAAATTCCAGTATATGTAATGTGGGAGGTATTATTTCTGCGCATTAGGTGTTAACATACTGACTATTTCTTATCTTTTATTCAAAATTGAGCAAGTGTGCTTCAAGCAGAGGCTAAAAGTCTAATCTATTAATTTTCTTGGTTTTCTTCTTGATTTTTTCTATGCTATACAAACAGTACTATTGAGAGGGGAATACAGATCCCATCAAAGAATGATGGATACTCAGCCTTTTCTGTGGAGTAGCCACACGTATGTGACACTTCCATGTTGGTAACCTGAGGTCATCGTAGACCACGGGTCCTTGTCATTTTTAGTCACATATTAGAATCACATGGGAGCATTTGAAACTACAGATGCTCAAACCACACCCCAGGTCATGTAGGTGAGAATCTCAAGGTGTGAGCTCGAGGCATTCATCTCAATTGAAATTTCACCAGGTGCTTATTACATGGCAGCAGGATTTAGAGATACTAAATGGACCAGCCCAATTTCCCATCATTTTCTTTTCTTTCCCCATTTCTCTCAGAATTGGCTTTGTTCCCAGTGGTTCCATGGATTGTAGCCTTCTCCCTGACAATTTCAGTTCAATCTCTCTCTTATCAATTGGGCTGGGCCAAAGCAAACATTGTCCTGTAGACAGATTCTTGTCTGTCATCTTGTGTATGCATAAAGCTGGTCCTATGGTCACTTTTCTCAATATTCATAAAATGCTCTCTCATATACACTGGCCTCAAGATGCATCTGACTTGCATTTTAGACCCTTCACTAGACTTGTAGAAGTGGAAATGAGAATAAAAAGGAGAGAGGTTGCAATGGTGAACCTCATGATGTATGCAGTTTTGAAGTCCTGCCCTCTGCACGTGCTTTAGAACTGATGTCCCTTTAGAATGTCATAAGTGTTCTCCGGTTAACGTCAGCTCAAGTGAGTCCATGAGGTGAGAACACTGAGACCCTGACAACTCGATCCCCATTGACACTAGGCTGCACATCTGGGGCTAAAGACTAACCTGACTCCAGGCCAGTAGGGAACCCCCACCCGTGACTGTGGTTCTAATTTTGTTTCCTACATGGGGCTTTTTGTGCGTAGTTTTAACACTTCTCATTCAGAGGAACAAGTGATGATTAAGAGTTGACTTAGTTGGATTTCTCAAAAGAAGACTCAAAAGGAAAATCTATGTGTAAATGATGTATTAAAGCAATGATTTCTGCAGAAAGAGGCAATGGAGCTGGGAACCAAGGGAGGAAAGGTAAATTTCCCAAGAGAGTGTGTGATTCCAGGCAAATGACCCTGTGTTCAGCAGCTTAAACTATGCACTTGGATGAGGACAAGGAGGCCTGGCTCTCTTGTGGCCATGAGAGGGACTGTCAAGACACTAGAAGAAGGAATAGAGCAGAGTCTGAGAGCAAAGAGGACATGAGGACAGAAAGGGCATGTCAGGGTGGGAGCCCATGGGACACAGAGGTAAGACCAGACAGAGGTTAGAGCAGCTGTTGGAGAGAACAAACGGGTGAGAAAAAGCAGTGGGAGAATGAGCTGTCACCATAGACAGAGAATTAAGGAGTGCAGCTATCAGCCATAGATGTGATTACCTCTGCACCCTAAGCTTGCAGGCCAAGGAATCTGCATGCCAGTCTCCACTTGCTGAGCGGGAGTTTTCTTTTGATGATCTTCGGTTTCAGGACACTGGAGGCATGAATCTGGCCAATGACTTGACGCCCTTGTGTGTTGTCTGCTGAGCCTTTAAGTGCATCAGCTTCCAGCTCGGGAGGGTTCTTCATTCCCAGGGAGGGCTCTAAAACCAGCTCTGAAAATAAAACCACAGCCAATGGGATCCACTGGCACCCACGATCTTACTGTGTCTTTCTCTTCCACCCAGAGAACATCAAATCAGGAAAGTGGCCTTGGAGAAGAAAGTCCAAAGGGTGAGGGGAAGCCAATAGAGTCACTTTAATATTTTCTTTTTTCTTGATCTTCCCCACATTACTGAGCAACGGTAAGATTGCCAGGAGTCAAAGGCATTGCCAATTCACAATAATATTCAAGAAACACAGGATTAAGAAACACAAATAGCTTCCGGGTAGATAAGGCAAAGGCAAGGAAATAGCAGTGTGTGTAGGCCAAGCTTTGGGGAGAGCAGAGATTACAAGAATCAAAGTTAAATCAGAGCTGGGTTCTAACAGGAGATGAGAATGGAAGGGCCTGGCAGGGTGGCAGCCCATGTGGCACAGAGGTGAGACCAGACAGAGGTGACAGCAGCTGATGAGAGGAAAGAATCAGGAAGGCTAAACCTAGAGAATTTACAAAAGTTGCATCATTATATGATCTACTGCATATATATACACCCTATGTAGTATATACACCAGATATACACAGTCACACATAATGAGACAAATGATATAAATGCATATATCTGTACATGTTAATTTAAAGGAAAAACATTATATAGGGATTTGGGAGAGATTGAATGTCACAGTATCATCACTGTTCTGGTCCATTGAAATGGGAAAAAAAATTAGAGACATGAGGAGAATAAGAAAGAAAAGGTGTGGGAGAAACAAATGACCTGGTAGACAGCAGGGAGAAATCACCAGGTGAAGGAAAATATTAATGAAACGAGAAGCATTCACTCTGTGCTCTTACCTGGTGCCTGGTTCAGGCTCTGGACTCCAGGGAAAGTGAGCAACAGGGAGTGTGTCTGAGCCAGTGGGGTGAGTCTTGGGTGGGGGTGTGAGAATCCACAGAGATGCAAAAGAGAGTCCAGTGGGAAGAAATCAGTTTAAATAAGTCATCCCGGGACGTGTCTGTGACTGTCCATCCCCTGACACTCCCTGAGCGCCTTCCATGTGTCCTCTCCTCGGACCCAGATGGTGCTCGTTATCTCACCCAACCCTCCCTCCTCCTGAGGGCCGGGGTCCCCTCATTCCTCAGCTGAGGGCATCACCTGACAGATGAGCACCAGGCAGCCCCAGGGGCTCCAATAGGAGGTACTGAGTGGGACGGAGAGTGAGAATGAACATGACCCAGGTTTTAAGGAAATCTGAGCAGAAGTGGATCCCTGTGAGATGTAAACTGAGGACATGGCCGTGGACATGAGTGGAGAATTTGAACTAAATGGAATTTCATAAAACAGACTGATGTGAACACTTTCCAAGTGAAAGTTGCCCTTTTATTTCAAAAAAAGCAGAGGAAGCTGGACATGTCAGGAGAGTGAGTGTGGGCCCAGGATTTACACTGTTACTCAATGTGCCTCATAGGTTGTTA